AGAATGAAATTATAACATTCTCTAATACCACACACAAAAGTAGTATTGAAATGGATTAAACACCTAAGTGTAAAACTGGATACTGTAAAACTCCTAGAGGAAAACACAGGCAGAATACTCTGACATAAGTCACAACAATATCTTTTTAAACCTGTCTCCTGGAGTAATTAAAACAAAAACAATAATAAACAAATGGAGCCTAATTAAATTTAGAGCTTTTGTCCAGAAAAGAAAACCACAAGTAAAAAGAAAAGACAACCCTCAAAATGGGAGAAAATATTTGCAAATGAACCATCACAAAGTACTGACCTCCAAAATACATAAGCAGTTTATGCAGCTCAATATCAAAACACAAACAACCCAACCAAAATATAAACAGAAGACCTAGACAGACATTTCTTCAAAGACAACACAGATGGTCAACAAATGCATGAAAAGATGCTTGACATCACTCATTATGAGAGAAATGCAAATCGAAACCACAGTGAGGTGTCACATCACACCAGTCAAATGGCCATCATTAAAAAAAATCTATAAACAATAAATGCTGGAGAGAATGTAGAGAAAATGGAAAACTTTTGCTCTGTTGGTGGGAATATAAGTTGATACAAGCATTATGGAGAATAGTATGGACACTTCTTAAGAAACTATGAACAAAACTACCATATTACCAACAAATCGCATGACTAGGCTTATATCCTAAGAAAACCATAATTCAAAAAGACACTTGTACACGTCTATCCATTGCTGTACTATTTACAATAGCCAGGACATGGTGACAACCTATATGTCCATTGAGAGATGAATGAAGAAAGAAGTTGTGTACATGTATACAATGAAATATTACTCAACCATGAAAAAGAATGAAATTGGGTCACTTAGTGATGTGGAAGAACCTAGACTCTGTCATACAGAGTGAAACAAGTCAGGAGGAGGAAAACAAATATCATATATTAATGCATATATGTGGAATCTAGAAAAATGGTACTGATGAATCTATTTGCAGGACAGAACTAGAGACATAGGTGTGACGCATGAACATGTGGACACAGTGAAGGACAGAGAGGGTGGGACAAATTGAGACAGTAGCGTTAACAGTATCCCCTGCTATGTGTAAAACAGGTAGCTAGTGGGAAGCTGCTATGCAGCACATGGAGCTCAGCTCAGCGCTCTGTGATGACCCAGGAGGCTAGGATGGGGGTTGCAGAAAGAGGCGTAGGAGGGAGGAGGCAGCTGTTGCAAGCTGTTGTATGGTAGAAACTAACACAACATTTTAAAGCAATTATAATTGGTATAAAAATAAATTTAAAAAAAGATCAGGTCAGCTGAAGTGGCTAGTATCCTCCAGTTAGGGCTGCTAGAATCTAAATCAGGACAGCTGGAATCTGAACAGAAGTTCCCCCATGTATCTCTGGCTAACTGATTGACTGAACACATGCAGAGCAAGTGTATGTAGTCCGTGTTCACCAGTGATAAGGCTGAAAGTTTGACAGAGATAGTAGGGGCCAGACAGTCAGTGGGCTTGGAGTTGTGGCCCAGCCAAAGTAAAGACAACTTACGAATATGTTCTCAACCAGAGGCTTCCAGCTGGACACTGGGAGAGTCACTTAAGAGTCAGGACTACATTCTGGGGCAAGTGTCAGAAATATTAAAGCCTGAGGGTAAAATCAATCCACACTTCTTCTCATAAACAAACTTTTACTGGATCATGTCCACTCCAACTCATTTGCTTAATATCTAAGACTGCTTTTAACAATAAAGTTGAGCAATTTTAACAGAGACCTCATGGCCCCGAAGGCCAAAACTATATACTTTCTGGCTTTTTACAGAAAATGTTTGCCCACCTCTGGTGTAGAACGAGGGGCTTCCCTAGTGGCTCATCAGTTAAGATTCCACCGGCAATGCAGGAGAGTGGTTTGATCCCTGGATTGGGAAGATCTCCTGGAGGAGGGCATGGCAGCCCACTCAAGTGTTCTTGCCTGGAGAATCCCGTGGACAGAGGAGCCTGGCGGGCTGCAGTCCACAGGGCCGCACAGAGTCAGACATGCCTGAAGTGATTTATCACACACACGGTATAGAATTTACTTTTGCATTTTGTATCATTTGGGAAGAAATAATGAAAGGTACTTTTCTAAGCAGCTAATGTTCTCTTCATATCCCCAGATTTTTCCTGGGAGCTAGCTCCTACAGTTGTATTGCTTTGCTCAGTTGTTGCCATACCCTCTTTTAGGGGGTCTTCCTGACCCAGGAATCAAACTCCTGGTGTCTCCTGTGTCTCCTGAATTGCAGGTGGATTCTTTACCAACTAAACTCTGGACCAGCTAAAAGAATCCAATTAGCCCACCCCTCTATAATCGTCCCCTTTGCTCCTGAACACGTTGAAGGATGAGAATTTGGGAAAGACTGTTTATTCTGTCCACCTAGAGCTCACACTAACAACTATGCTAGGTAGCTGGAATAGGAACACTGAGTCCAGAATGGCGGTGGCTAAAAGACAAAGAGCCCACGAACATAGAACAAAGGAAGATCTGAGGACTGGAGTGAGGGCCTCAGTAGAACAAACAGCACTGCTGGCTAGCCCATCACATAGGGCAGGCCCAGGGGGAGGAGAAAAGCATATAAGAGGGCGCCCAGGGGCCAGCGGTCTCGCTCCCGCTCTTCCCGCTCTCTCCCACTCTTCCTGCTCTCCCGCCGGCTCTCCCACTCCCCCTGTCCTCTCTTCGCATCTTTTGGGTCGGCATGCTCTCACACCTTGAGGATGTATCTTCCTTTATTTTCTAAATTAAACTGAACTGTAACACCGGTCTGTCTGAGAGCTGTGACTCAGTCCCTCTGAGGCTGTAATGCTGGCCCGTCGCTTCAAATTTTTGTTGTGATGAGACAGAACCGAGGAAATCACACTCCCCTGACATCTATGGTGCCATTTAACCTGGCTGAAACAACCTTGGCCCGGCCGCCACAAGGAGGAGGCCAAGCACAGCAGGAGACCAACTCGGGAAAGCCCCCGGGGAGGAAGCTGAACCCAAGAAAACCCAGCGCAGGGGAAGTGACAAGAAGCCCAGCGTGCTGAACCAGGACAGCGGAAAACCAACTCGGCAGAAAGCTCACGCGGCTCAGTCTCACATTCCAGAAGACCTCCAGTTAAGGCAGGCGGAACTAAAAACTGAAAACAAGTGGCTGTGTATGTGCTTCTCCCACAAGATTCAAGACTGGGGACAGAGATGGAAGTGGGAAACAGCCGTTTGGTTATTAAAAAATAGGAGGAGAGTGTGAAAATCAAGAGTTTCATTGTGGATGCTTTATATTTGCAGTGCATTTGGATATACAACTGAAAATAAATCATTTTGGAGATTAGAAATTCAAGAAAATACCCCAAAAGAGTACATACGTTAAGGAAAGCTTTGGGTAAAAAGTTGCAATGAGTAGTAAGTAAATCAAAGAGATCTAATGTGTGTATAGTTAGTAATACTATATTATAATTATGTAAGGTGATAAGTATCCACTACAAGAGCAATCATGTTGCAATTATAAATGTATCAAAGTAACACCCTATATACCTTAATTTACACAATGTTACATGTCAAATTTATCAAATTTAAAAAATTCAAGAAAATGGTAAAGAAATGCTAAGAACTATCAACATAGAGTTCAAGGGAAAAAAAGAAGTGTCTAGATATTAGAAAACCAAAAGATGACAGGAAAACGTGATATTAAAGTAGGTTATGAGAGAATTTTATGACTATTTTATGGTTAAAACTAGACATTTCCTATGATGTTTCCTGAACTCTAATATCCAAAAGAGGTGCTTGATGAACTTTGGCATAAATTGTTTCATTAGAAAATGTGATTACAATGTATTGATGATTGAATGTATGGTCTGTCTCTAAAATGAAAATCATTGTGGACCAGGTCATTGAAATAGTTAAAATTTGTTTATTACTCATTATCAGCCAGGCACTTTTTATAAGTACTCTAAATATTAACTTACTTAATTTTTCAACATCAATATATGTGAAGGATAATAATATTATTTCCACTTTGTAAATGGCATAACTTAGTCACAGTGAAAGCAAGCCAATCTTGAAGAATATGCTTAAGAATTTAACCTGAATTTTTGTAGTTAGTAACATTAATAATAAATTTTGGAATGTGTCTCAACCTTACCTAAATGGATTGAACACTAAGAAAAATTGTAATGATTTTTTACACCCCTATATATTTATACCTAACACATATTGTTATTCTACACCATGTATTTGTCATCAAAATATTGCTTGTCTTCTGTACCACAGTAGAAAATTAGTGTAATTTTAAACAGAAAATTATGAGATAGATTCAGGGGCATAGGTGAGTAAGAAAGAAGTTGTTTAAAGGCAACATAGACTTTTAAAATTGCAATCCTAGAGCTCAGCATCTTCAGTATTGGATGTGGAATGCATTTAGTGAGACAGACTATTTGTGATCAACTGTGTCAATAACAAAATTTTAAGGAAACACAGGAAGGTAAAAATCAAAGTTTAGTACTCAGTTTTAGGATTCAGTCTGTGAGCAAGAAGGAACACACTCTCACAAAACATTAGCAGCTAAATCCAACATAAGGGAAAATTAAATCCAAGATATAGATAAAATATAAAGTGGAAACAAATGTAAAGAGAAAGAAGCACTAATAATATTTCATAGTATGATATAGATAAAGCAATTCTGATTTTTTAATCTCCCCTGAAATGATCAATAATACACAACTGTGGAACCTAGGGTACCAATGTACTGAAAATATTTATGAACAAGATTTTTTAATGCCTGTGAGTTTGTTTGCATAGTTTTGCCTCCATTAATAACCACTCTATGCATATCAAATATTTCTGAATCATAAATGCAGATTGAGTAGAAGTCAGGATTCAGCGAAGAGAAACCACACAGTAACAACTTTTATCATGCTGGGATTAACTGATGATCCACAGCTGAAGACTGTGATTTTCATCTTTTTATTTCTCACCTACATGTTGAGTGTAACTGGGAACCTGACAATCATCTCCCTCACCTTCATAGACTCTCACCTGAAAACTGCCATGTACTTTTTCCTGCAAAATTTCTTCTTCTTAGAAATCTAATTTACATCTGCTTGTATTCCCAGATATTTGTATAACATATCAACAGGTGACAAGACAATAGCATATAATAACTGCATCAGTCAAACATTTTTTGCTGATCTTTTTGGTGTAGCTGAGTTTTTTCTCCTGGCTACCATGTCTTCTGATAGATAAGTGGCCATCTGCAATCCCCTGCATTATGTGACTATCATGAACAACATGGTCTGTAGAAGACTCATCCTTTGTTGCTGGATGGCTGGCTTGTTGATCATAATCCTCCACTTAGCCTGGGCCTGAATCTGGAATTCTGTGGCTCCAATGTTATTGACCATTTTTTCTGTGATGCAGTCCTCATTCAAAAAATCTCATGCTCAGAAACGTGGCTTATAGAGCAAATGATCATAGTCTGTGCAGTGTTGACCTTTATCATGACCCTCCTGTGTGTTGTTCTATCATATATATACATCATCAAGACCATTTTACAATTCCCTTCTGCCCAGCAAAGGAAAAAGTCATTTTCCACGTGTTCTTCCCATTCAATTGTGGTCTCCATCACCTATGGAAGCTGTATATTCATCTATGTTAAGCCTTCAGCAAAAGGAATCAGCAGGTATTAATAAGGGTGTGGCAACGCTCACTACTTCAATTGCTCCTATGCTGAACCCCTTCATTTACACCTTGAGAAACAAGCAAGTTAAACAAGCCTTTGGTGATGCAATCAAAAGAATTGCATTATTCTCAAAGATCTAATGGAATTTGCTTATGTAAAGGAATCAATTTTTCAAAAAAGATCATTCGTTCCTAAGTATGTATCTTTAAGCTTTCGAGTCATTTCTTTCCCGGTATGGAAACTGTTTCAGGCAGCTCTCTTAAAAAGACAGTAAGAAAAATGACATTACACCCTAACAAGACTTTACCGAAAGGCTAACAATGAAATGAAAGAAGAAAAACCTACAAGTTCATTGTACATTTTGAACAGGGTAATTGTGTGATTGCTTTTTCCTTTCTTAGATTTCAAGAGTGTTTTTTTATGTCAGGCACCATTTCAAGTATTAGAAACAGAAGAGAAAACCTAAAATGTATTGCCTTTACATTTTTATAGTTAAGAAGGGATACATGACCAGGGCATTTAAAAAAACATAACCATCACAAGGAGCAACAATGAAAATATGATTTTTAAGTTAAAAAAAAGAAACTATTACAAATGATTGTGTCTTAAGGTAGAAGCTGAATTATAAAAATAGTCTCTTACAATAATGAAGACTCTAAAAATTCCAGACTTACAAATCAATTTAAACAGAAAACATGTGAAATTAAAGTGCTAACAATTTTTCCATGTGAATTTTTGAGGAAAACGATTATTTATGTATTAGATTGGCCAAAAGTTCATTCAGGTTTTTCCATAACAGCTTACAGAAAACTCAATGAAATTTTGGGCCAATCCAATACATCAGCATTTGTTTCTACACATCAAACTTTAACAGTATGCATTGGCTGGTAAGAAAATGATTAGAAGAGGGACTTCCCTGTACTATCATCTTTATTAAACCCTCAGTAAAGGAATCAGTGGCTATTAAAAAGTTATGATAGTGCTCACTGCCTCTTATGCTGAATCCCTTCGTTTTGCTTTCTTTAAAAGACTGCCAGTTACTTCTCCAGCAAAAAAAAAAAGTGTTTATTCAAGATAAAAAAGAACTGTGACTTGTAGTCTGGAACTATGGAGAGCCATATACAAGTCCTTACACAAGAACGGGGACTCTTTTAAAGAGGGGAAAGGAAGCTGGGAGGGCTGTAGTGGACAGAGTATGTGACTTTGCACTGGCTGAGTTGTGGCGGTCTCTCACAGGCTGCACTCTCACCAGGGAAAAAGGGGAAGTCTTTCTTCTTCCTGCAGGACTCTGCTGCTGTCCTGGGACACAAGAGGCCCCGTTCAGGCCTCTTGCCCCTGTATTAGCTGAAACTGCATTTATTAACTTTCACAATTTACACCTTGAGAAACAAGCAGGTCAAATAAGACATCACCCACATTTCAAGGAACTTGATTGTGACATATCTCAAAAATAATTTTATATTGATATCAGGTTGAAATAATATTTTGATGCACTGGATTTAAGATTCCCAAGTGGTTCAGTGGTAATGAATCCACCTGCCAATGAGTAGATGCAGGAGACACACATTCGATCCCTGGGTTAGGAAGATCTCCTGGAGGAGGAAATGGCAACCCACTCCAGTATTCTTGCTTGGAAAATCCCATGGACACAGGAGCCTGATGGGCTACAGTCTGTGGGGTCACAAAGAGTCAGACACAACTGAGTACATCTGGATTTATTAATAATTTCATTTTTATTTTATAATATGGCTACTAGAAAATTCTAAATTGCACATGTGCCTCATGAAATATTTACGTTAAAAGCGTCAGATCAACCAAACTGGTTAGTAGCAGATCCAGAATTCAAATTCTGTGTTTGACCAAAAATTTTGTTTTTAACTTAAGGAAGCCTCACCAGAGAAACACTTTCAATAAGATATTTTCAAGAAACTCCTCAAGCAAACCCCACATGTATTAAAATCAGTATAAGTAATACATAATAAAAATGCTCACAGCAAGCTTAAACTACAAAATACATCTTTTTTTAATGTTTTCAAAATCAACTCTTTATGTTAATGAAGTCAGTTTATAGAATTGTAGCATTATAGACCTGATTTTTTTGTCCTCATCATTGTATCTTTTTTTTTTCATTTATTTTTATTAGTTGGAGGCTAATTACTTTACAATATTGTAGTGGTTTTTGCCATACACTGGCGTGAATCAGCCATGGATTTACATGTATTCCCCATCCCGATCCCCCCTCCCAACTCCCTCCCTACCCCATCCCTCTAGGTCTTCCCAGTGCACCAGCCCTGAGCACTTGTCTCATGCATCCAACCTGGGCTGGTGATCTGTTTCACTATAGATAATATACAGTTTTGATGCTGTTCTCTCAAAACATCCCACCCTCACCTTCTCCCACAGAGTCCAAAAGTCTGTTCTGTACATCTGTGTCTCTTTTTCTGTCTTGCATATAGGGTTATTGTTACCATCTTTCTAAATTCCATATAGATGCGTTAGTATACTGTATTGGTCTTTATCTTTCTGGCTTACTTCACTCTGTATAATGGGCTCCAGTTTCATCCATCTCACTAGAACTGATTCAAATGAATTCTTTTTAATGACTGAGTAGTATTCCATGGTGTATATGTACCACAGCTTCCTTATCCATTCGTCTGCTGATGGGCATCTAGGTTGCTTCCATGTCCTGGCTATCATAAACAGTGCTGCGATGAACATTGGGGTGCATGTGTCTCTTTCAGATCTGGTTTCCTTGGTGTATATGCCCAGGAGTGGGATTGCTGGGTCATATGGCAGTTCTATTTCCAGTTTTTTAAGAAATCTCCACACTGTTTTCCATAGCGGCTGTACTAGTTTGCATTCCCACCAACAGTGTAAGAGGGTTCCCTTTTCTCCACACCCTCTCCAGCATTTATTGCTTGTAGACTTTTGGAAAGCAGCCATCCTGACTGGCGTGTAATGGTACCTCATTGTGGTTTTGATTTGCATTTCTCTGATAATGAGTGACGTTGAGCATCTTTTCATGTGTTTGTTAGCCATCTGTATGTCTTCTTTGGAGAAATGTCTGTTTAGTTCTTTGGCCCATTTTTTGGTTGGGTCATTTATTTTTCTGGAATTGAGCTGCAGGAGTTGCTTGTATATTTTTGAGATTAATCCTTTGTCTGTTGCTTCTTTTGCTATTATTTTTTCCCAGCTGAGGGCTGTCTTTTGCATACCTTATACTTTTAAATGAGATGATATTATATTTTACCATATATTTTTGTTTAGTGATACAGTTAAATAGTGGTCTTCCCTGGGGTCTCAGATGGTAAAGTGTCTATAAGGCAGGTAGACCCAGCGTCAATCCCTGGGTCGGGAAGATCCCCTGGAGAAGGAAATGGCAAGCCACTCCAGTACTCTTGCCTGGAAAATCCCATGGACAGAGGAGCCTGGCAGGCTATGCAGCCCATGGGGTTGCAAAGAGCCAGACACACTGAGCGACTTCACTTTTACAGTTAAATATTTTATTTTTAATTTTCATAGTTTTCAAAATTGCTCATTCTAAAAAGAATGAGACATCTTGTGAAGAGAATTGACCTGTGCTTTTTTTATTCTGTGATTACCCTCAATATATATTTACTTTTGTTGATACTTTCTCATTTTTTTATAATTTTGACTAAATTCATATAAAATAAAATTTACTATCTCAGCTTCTTTAAAGGAGTATTAAGTACATTTTCATTGCTGTGTATTACCCATAATAGGTTAACACGCATAGTCAATATTGGTTTTTCTTTTAATGTCCACAAATAATTGATATCCAGAGAATAGTTCCAACAAAGCTGTAACTCAGCCTGGTTTTTTACTTTCTTTTTCTTGTTTTGGACTAACTTGAAGGATACTATTGACAGTGTCTTATGTTGAATGGTAATGCTTTCTTTTTGTTATCAATATTAGTTCATTTTTAAGAATAAGTGTTACTCATCTTTTAACACCCTACTCCTGTTATTGAATAGAGTTTTCCTGTGCTATACAGTGGGTACTCATTAGTCACCTATATTATACATAGTGTGTATATATGTTCATCCCAATATCTTAATTCATCCACCATCCCTTCCCCATCATGGTAACTACACATTTGTGTTCTACATCTGTGTCTCTATTTTTGCTTTGAGAATAAGTTCATCTGTACCATTTTTCTATATTCCACATGTAAGTGATATTAAATGATATTTGTTTTTCTCTTTCTGACATGTTTCACTTTATATGACAGTCTCTAGGTCCATCTATGTCTTTGCAAATGGCACTGTTGCACTCCTTTTTGGGCTGAGTAATATCCCATTGTGTGTATATATATATATATACCATGCCTTCTTTTTCCATTCCTCTCTT